CAGCAGGAAAAAGCTGAAAAATAATTTATAAAATATCCAAATAAATTCTGAGCAGTTGCTTTTAACTTTCATTCAGCTTTGAAATATGCTGCTTCTATTTCAGGCCTGGAAAGCGTTTCTGAGCAAATGTGGGTTTTTTTCGGTTGGTACAATCTAGTTTTCCTAAATTATCTAATTTTCTTTTATAGGTCATTTTTATGCAAGAAGCTAAAAGTAATTAAATTTGCAGGATGAAAACATGGCACAGGCACTGCTGGTACCACCAGGACCTGAAAGCTTCCGCTACTTTACTAGAGATTCTCTCACAGCTATTGAAAAGCGCTCTGCAGAAGAAAAAGCTAAAAAGCCCAAGCAAGAACACACAGATGATGATGATGAAAATGGTCCAAAACCAAACAGTGACTTGGAGGCAGGAAAGACACTGCCATTTATTTATGGTGACATACCTCCAGGAATGGTATCTGAACCTTTGGAAGATCTGGACCCATATTATATCAATAAAAAAGTGAGTCAATAATCGTTTGCACAAAATAGAATATAATTTTCTATACTAGAAAAGCTTAATTACAAGATATGGTGGTTATAGCCATCAAGTCACTAAATATACATAAACGTTCTTTCATCTAACAGAATGCTCTTCCATATTGTGACTCTTAACTCCCATTGAGTTACTTGTTACTTACTTCATTGTAAGGAAGATATAGTTTGCTTAAGCTTGTCTGAACTTGAGAACACGACTGAATTTTCCTGACTTCAATGTAGCAGTAAGGCTGGATATGACAAACAAGATGTTCCAAGCATGTTTTGCAGTGAAGAAAGTTGTAGATAACCAGGTAGCCCTCCATCCAAGTTGTGAAATAAAGGACCGCAACCATACTCTTTGTTTCTGTTACAGCTATATAACATTTATATATATGGATGTATAAAATCTATCTATCTATGTAGCATATAGAGACTGTGTAAATCTTAGGACATGTTAAAGTTTAAAGCCAGGCCAGCCACTAAGCTTTGACAGATGCTCCCTATAACTACCCCCCGCCACTCTCCCAGAGGAGGATAACAGGAGAACCAGAGAGTCTTTAAGACTGAAAAAACAACCTTGAAGCTGTTTAATGAAAGACAAGAATAATACTAACAGTAACAGCAAAGATGTCAAACTGTATACATACAAGAGTTCAAAGATGCTCAAAGGCACAAGAGAATATGTTAATACAGGACACACACCTTCCAGATGACAACAAAGTCCCAAGCAGAAAACAAGAAGTCCCAGACTGGACTCTACAGCAGATGGGAGTGCCTGAGTCCAGAGTCCCAATGACAAACCAAAGGAAGCAGAAAAGGACCTGTGACTCTACCACCTGGGGCTAGAGGCAGGGGAAGATTACCTGCTCCATCAAACAGTTCCCCCCCACAGCATGGAAACGGGACGGGGGAACACCAGCAGCACCAGAAGATGATGAAAAGCCAATGACAACCCTCCCAGCACAGCAAACACCAAAAAAACCCCCATGCTTGTCTTAGGGGCACTTATATACTGAGCACCCTGGGAAGGAATACCATGAGTGCTCCATTTGGGTCACCTGTCCTCTCCTCCACATAGGCACAGCTGCCCAGTGTGGTTACTGCCAGTGCCAGGCAGCCATATAAAATTACCCTGATGGAGACAGCTGCTTGGGCTTGCTATGATAGATCTGTGCTGCACAGCTTTCAATTAGAAGTCTCTGTCAAACACTGCAGAAAAGCTGGGTTTTGAGGAAGGAACTGAAAAAAAGACAGTTTTGTTGTTCTGAAGACCCACTGAGAGGTTTCATATAGAAAGAGCAGAGGGAAGAGTTGTTGTGACAGAGAAGTAACATGCCTGAGTTACGTGTGGGATGCTGTAACACAGCTGGACCATTAATAGCACAGTTGTGCTCCGTGAAGAATGTAAACTCCTAAAAGAGGGACATTTCATCTTCCAATTTATGCAGTCACACCAAGTCCAGGGACTTGCAGGTAGAAAGCTCAGTTTAAGCAGATCCATTCAAGTGAAATGTTTGCCCCCTGACCTTTTTAAGAGTCAGGATCTGCAGCAGGGTCTGTGATTTTTGGTCTTGTAGCAATGATGCCTAAAATCTGGAAAGACTACCATTGTATGACTTAAGAAAAAGACAAGGAACAAAGAAGTGTATCTCCATAGCTGAGGGTAACTGTAGATTGTGTTAAACTCCTCCAGGATCTGAAATAGTCTGGTTTGGGAATAGTTAAAAATACCTCAAGTCTTGCAGAGATTAATAAAAGGTAGAGCTGTACTCTCTATCTGCTCATTTCTGCATGCTCCTTTAGCAAAACAAAGATGTTCTTTCAGTTCCTGATAGACCTGTGAGGTATTGTTTATAGGGAGAGCAAAAGAAGATGAAACTGTGGATAATAAACATAAAATAAAAAATGCAGAAGCTATTTTATGGACAGGTGCTTGGGATTATTTTTCTGAAGCAGAGAAGATGAACACAGTTGCTCTGATGACAGCTTAAAGTATTTCAGGCTGCGATCAAGATAGGAAACTTGATCTTAAGCAACTATTAAAAAATAAAGATATAAAATATTTTAAACTGTAAATAATTTGTTGGTTAGGAAAAAATCATGCCAATAGCACTCTCAGTTTTGTGGCTAAGTTTGTAGTTGTCTTTGATTCACAAAACTGTTTTTAAAATTATGGCTTCAGTAACAGGAATGGAAAATAAATCGTAATCCATATGTAATTGCACAGCCTAAGAGTTGCCTAAGTTAAACAAACAGTGCTGTAGATAATACGAATATCAACATTATTATGGATTTTTTTTAAAAACGTTTGCCAAGAGTTTTTTTCATTTATATGATTTAGGTTATATTAATAGTTCCATGGAGATTCTTATTCGCAATATAATTGTGTGCACTGAGCCCTTTTCTTCACTAGCTGCAAAAAAAATCAGGAATAAAGTTGCATCATTAAGTTCAGGAATAAAGTTTTCTAAACAAGTCTTCTACAAACGAAGTATCAGAAAAACCTGAGAGGTATGAAGCAATGACCAGAAAAAGTAGTCAGATTTTTTTGGAACAAAGTGTAAAAAGTCAGGGTAATGATGGACTTGTTACTCTATGAGGGGAATTAGTAAACTGCAAAATCTTTTGTCAGAGGTGACATCTGTATTTATGATATGTACCAGGCTGAAGTGCTCAACCAAAAACAAATGGACGTCTTAAATGATGAACTAGAATTAGTCATCCCTCCTCCAGTTTATAGCAGAAACTTCTCTTAATCATCAGCTTGTCAAAATGCAGAGAAAATCATACGTGAATTGTCGTCTGTCTTCGGGCTCTGCTGCAGCAGCGACCTTGGGACAGGCAACATCCTTCTCACATTTCTAGCTGGGTGAAGGGAGAGAAATGCCGGCGAGCCTCTGTCCCTCCTCTGGGATCCGCAGAGCTACACTTGATATTCTGCGAAAAGGCACTGGCAGCTCCCCTTTACCTGTTTTCCTTCGCACTGTAGAAGTTTGCTTTCTCTCCCGGAGATGGCAGACCGGACAGGTTATGGAGAAGGCAGCGTTTTTCTGATCACAGCCAAGTTTTTACAGAGAATGGAAATCAACATGGAGAACAGTGATCCTATGTAGCTCTGCTGCGAGCGTAACAAAGACTCTATTATGGTAACACAAAGCAGAGCCATTACCATCGACAAAGAGCAAAAGGAATGAAGAATAGTCATGTCCTGAAGAAATTTCAAAAAGCACCAAAGATGCAAGTAAACCTCACACACAGATATACTTGAAATAAAAATGAAAACACTTAGGCAACGACTGCCAACAAGAACAGAATGAAATAAACACGAACCGTAGGTTTATCAGGTCAAATTTGAAAGATGATAACTACCTAAATTTGGTGCTTAAAATAAGAGCATATTGTTAAAAATGAAAACATATATTTGAAGAAAAGAGTTGTTTTAACAGGATGCCAAATACTGGTGTATGTTTGTCCCAGACTGCTCAGAATTATGTCAGCTGGCAATTTATCAAGCCCTTTTTTTTTTTTCCCCCAGAGATACATTTTTAAAACATACATATAATTGATATTGATAATATTTAAACATTTTAAATGAAAGCAAATTATTTTAAAATTATGGTTAATTGTTTAGTGGCAGGTGTTTGTCCTTGTCACCATATATATGTGTATATAATTCTGTCAAGTATTTGTTCCGGAGACATGCTGGTGTTTAGAATTGCCCTTTTGCTATTTCGGTTTTGTTTGTGCTTGCTCACAAGGTAGAATGTATCTGATTAATTTCAAAGTGACTTTAATCAAATGCTTCAATAGAAACAAAATTGAAAATATCTTAGTGATGAAATGCCACATTTTGCTACTATTGACAAACTGACATTGGTGCTGATAATTCCCACCAATTTTAATAACATCAGATTTCAGCCCACAGGCTGGGAGATATAGCAAATTGGAGAACTGGCTTAATACACTGCATTGACAGAAATCAGTTATTTTCCTACCACAGGTAGGCACTAAAATGGAATTTGAACCTCACAGCCAGAGTATGGGATCCTTTAGAAGGAGGTAAAGACATTTATGTAGTCAACACTGTATTTTAATTTTTTATTTCTTTTTTTTTTCAGACTTTCATAGTATTGAATAAGGGAAAGGCAATTTTCCGATTCAGTGCCACATCTGCCTTGTACATTTTAACTCCTTTTAATCCCATCAGAAAAATTGCTATCAAGATTTTGGTACATTCATATCCTTTTTTCTTGTTGTTGATTTAAGAGTTCCCATTTAAAATTATTTGATTACTGAAATAATACTTTTCATATGGATATACAAATTATGTCCATGTGTGTGTACTATGAAAGCTAAACATATGCTGATCACACTGAAAAAGCAGCAATATCCCATGTGAATTGCAGTATGATCTTCATTCCTACCAGGAGTATGTTTTACTGAACCACCCAAAGCTGACAGCGTTTAAATATCAGGCTCTATACACAGAAAGAGACCTGATCCCAGACTAAGCCCTGCAGCTAAAGCCAAATTAGTAACAAACCATTGCACTTGAACATATCTAAGGTCACATTTTTACCAAGACCACTAGGACTATTCATGACCTAGACTCACTTAGCAAGGACAAAAAAGCATAAGTAAAGAGCTGCTTTTTCAGGCATACTTTTTCAGCATTGTGTTTTCAGCATCAGGGTAGGTGTCCTATAAAAGATCCAGGTCAGAATAAAGGAGAATATTTTAAAATATATTTCAATTATGTCCAAAGAACAACTTGGGCGTAAACGACTGACCTCTGCCTCAAGAACTTTTAGAATGATCCCCCTTCAATGAGTGATTATGTTTGGGTACTCAGTTTATATTTTTACAGACTTAAGGATGTATGTAAGTTTCATTTATATCCTAAATTTGCTTTCATTATAAAAGTAATGCATTGTTTTACAGTAAGTGCACCATAATGTGACAGATGGCTTATCATTCAAAGTAGATAAAATTATGGGCAAAGCTTTATTTTCAGATTTTACTGACAATGTCACATTATTTGTACATATTTTTTATACTTAATATTGTTAATTATTCAAGTGTTGTAAAACTGTTGTGCTTTTTTGACTTATGTGCCTTGACTGTAATCTACATTATTCAGCATGCTCATCATGTGCACTATTTTGACCAACTGTGTATTTATGACCATGAGTAACCCTCCAGACTGGACAAAGAATGTAGAGTAAGTGAAACATTTTTACTTTTTTAATTTTATCTCTGTTTTTGTACCACTCCAAACAAGAAGCAACTGTGTAAAGTTGCGTGTCAGAATGGGCTTCTCCACACTCGTGAAAAATCAGATTCCGCGAGATCACCAGTATCTTTTTGGTCTCCTCCTGAAAAAAATAATGGTTTAAGAGAAATGCCATATTCTTTAATTTTTTTCTGAGGAATTTCACAGAATCATTAAATGGTTTTGGTTGAAAGCAACTTAAGGATCATCTACTTCCAACTCCCCTGCCATGGACAGGGGCATCTTCCACCAGATTAGGTTGCTCAAAACTCCACCCAAATGTGAACACAAACTCCTGTCCTTGGATGTTCTGAGCTGTAAATTGGAAAAGGAGCTCCAGAACTTCAAATGCGCGTGTAAAATTGTTGGATGTCATTGGTATTGCTGAGTGTCCATGATCTTGGCCTAGGGGGACACTGATCATGGCTCTCTGATGTGAACTCACAGGTGCCAGCCACAGCAAGCGCACACAACCCCAAATCCACAAGAAACTCCAGCTGCTGAGGGAAGGATCTTACCTATGAAGGAGTCACAAAGAGGGACAAAATTAAGGGAACCACAAAGTAGCTCTATTCCTCTTTCTCATTCATGGTTCTACATGAATGAGAACCATTCTACGTATTTTCCTTAGAAATACTATGCTTTTCTTTGAAATAATACTACTCATGAAAAACCTGGTTCTAACCACTTGTGGTTTCTTTTACTCCCTCCTGTTTTCCAATAACCATTCGGGGTTTCTATTTATTTCACCGCATTAAGGAATCTTACTCTGAATGCTGTATTTGGAAACTGCGCTAGTGTTCACCCACTCTCAGGGTGCTCAACGGTGACCATGACTTCGCAGGGTGGCTGAGGGTCTGAAAGGAGAGCAGCAGGTTTCCTTTGTGTTGGAGGTCTGCGCAGACCCATCCCTGCATTACACAGCGTATAACTGACTAGGCTGGTGTTAAATAAATGGTTGTTCACACACCAGGTAAACTAGTAATCACGCTCCACATCTTCAAGAATAACAGTCTGGGTGTGGTTTCTTGTATTTAATGGTTATTCATGAAATAAACCTGTATTATAGGCACAAGTATAGTTATTATCCAGAACTGATTTTTGCAAAACCCTCTGAGTTTGACATTGTAAAAATCCTTTATTTCTTGTAACACTTAGACATCTGCCTGATTTGTGAATGCAAGCAAAGAGGCAGTCCTGAGTGCCAGAGAATGGATATATAAATATTGAACTCTGAAATGTGCAAGCACAAAAGTTCAGATTAAATCAGCCCTGTAGAAAATGAATACTGTGTATGTATCAGGTTCAAATTTCATCTACTGATCAACAATTACATTCTTAAGTTTTGGGGGCAAGTTAAGTTAATGACTTTCTCCTCTCACTTCTAAATACTTTTATTTTCTTGCAGGTCATCTTTGATAAAGAGTCACACTGTCTATAAGTATGCAAAAAAAAATCATTATTTCTGCTCTGATGCTTTTCAGGTATACTTTCACTGGAATTTATACCTTTGAATCACTTATCAAAATTCTTGCAAGGGGATTCTGCTTAGAAGGTTTTACTTTTCTGAGAGACCCATGGAACTGGCTTGACTTCAGTGTCATTTTAATGGCGTAAGTGGTTCAAGGACTTTTTAAACTTCTAGGGCATGAAATTAGTGGCAAATATTATCATAATAAATGTATCAATTTAGAAGTATTTCCTTTCTGTAACCTATGAAGTTTAGACCATATCACACATTTTAATAGTCATAAATCAAACTAAAATATGGCAGGAGCCAGCACGGAGTGTCAGCTGCTAGTGTAATTACTGCTGAGGGACACTAATTTCATGTCCTACATTTTTCTGCTCACCAGAATGGAAGCCATCCCTTTGACTTCATGTCACCGTCCTTTTACGAGCTAATTAGTTTAATTAGCTGCTCAGATACGAATCAGTGAGTTTCACTTCAATGAAATTTAAGCAAAATTGATGAAAATAAATTATAAAAGCAAGGTGTACTGAAAAGACAGGTAAATTTTGAAGTATGATTGCTAATATTGCCACAGAGGTTTTGAAGACCCACATAATTAATATAAGCTCTGCCTCAATTCTGAATAACTGTGATTTAATCCTACAGGTATGTAACAGAATTTGTAAACCTAGGCAATGTTTCAGCTCTTCGAACTTTCAGAGTATTGAGAGCTTTGAAAACTATTTCTGTAATCCCAGGTAAGAAGTAGTTGGTGTAAGGTGTTAGGCCCCTCGTATCTCCAACTGTTATTTGTGTGCTGTCATTGTGTTTGTGTGTGAACTCCCCTATTACAGATATGTGACAGAGTTTGTGGACCTGGGCAATGTCTCAGCGTTGAGAACATTCAGAGTTCTCCGAGCTTTGAAAACAATATCAGTCATTCCAGGTGAGAGCTAGGTTAAACACCGAGGCTGACTTTCGTTCCATTGAAGTCGAATTCACTTCTTTTGAGCATACGTCTTGCTGTTCGCTGCTCGTGTTGTCAAAAAAAAAAAAAAAAAGAAAGGCATGGATCATAAAACTGGATTACGATTCTTTGCCTTTTCAGCATTAGCTTCTTTTATTTTGCAAAATCAGCCTTTGAGTTTAACAGATTCTTGCATGAGACATGAAATATGAAGCCTATGGGTTATTTTGCTTTGTTTTTCTGCATTTTATTATGACAAGTTGTCTCTTTTACATTAAAAAAGCTTTAGCGCTATGGCTTTCTTGATTTTGAATTTTTTCATTTTTTTTACGACTTATAATTGACATTAGTCTCAAAGACAACTGAATAACAACAAATCAAGCTACAAAAAGGAGATAAGTATTGCACAGGAAAATTTATCAAATGCAAAATTTTTTTCCCCTCCAAATTACTTGCTATTCTACTTCATTCTATCTTCATATCGTTCCAAAGGCATATTTAATATTAACTGGAAACTGAATTATTGGCAGAATATTAAATGCAGAGAAAAATTAAGAAATGAAAATGAATCTATAAGAGGAAAGCATGAGTGATAAAATTTCCTGCTTGAGAATAGCATTATATATTCAATTTATTGGAATATATGTACATTGCATATTCATAAAAGAGAATCTCTTTCATTCATCTTCACAAGCTCTGAGGCTGCTCATGAAGCTTTACTTTTTGAAAAATAAAAAATAATTTCTTTTTAAGTGTCTGCATGACATCTTAATTATATGGGAAGAGAAAGATACTCTTTTTGATAAATCTGTGGATCTTTTCTCTTTGCAGGCCTAAAGACTATTGTAGGAGCCCTGATTCAGTCTGTGAAGAAGCTCTCGGATGTAATGATCCTGACTGTGTTTTGTCTGAGTGTATTTGCACTAATAGGGCTGCAGCTGTTCATGGGCAACTTGAGGAACAAATGCCTGCAGTGGCCTCCAGACAATTCTACTTTTGAAATAAACGTTATTTCCTACTTTAACAGCACAATGGATGAAAATGGTACATTAGTTAATATGACAGTGAGCACATTTAACTGGAAGGATTACATTGAGGATGAAAGTAAGAATGTCTGATATAACTATTTTTAATATATTTGTGGCTACAGTGTGTAATATTTGTGAGCAAACAAAGAACATTGAACAGTTGGTATTTTCTGCCATATGTAGAACTGCTTACAGTCACTGACTGACAGAGGTCAGAGACCAGAAACAAGTTCCTAAACAAACTGCTGTCATCAGCATCTAGCCACTTTGAATTTTCTACAGTTTATTTTATTTTACTTTGTAGTACTTCCAGGTCTATATGATTTATTCACATATATTTTTTATGCTTTCTACACAGCTCATTTTTACATTCTGGAAGGACAAAGAGACGCCCTACTTTGTGGTAATAGCTCTGATGCAGGGTAAGACCCCTTCAAAATCCTTTCCTGTTCTGCAGAAAAAGCAGTAACATGAAACTCATCTGTTGCAGTTGCAACGCCATATTTAGCAGCGTTACAGAACTTACACAATTTTGCTGCTAAACAATGCTTTCTTACTTAAGTCAAAATATTTTGCTCTCTTGCCTAACAAAATACTCATTAACAGTCTTTATCCTGCTTGATTGGAAAATGATGTTGGTGCTAATGATGAAATCTGAACTCCTGTATAGTCTATTTTGGAGATGTACTGATTGAAGAAAGTGGGGTAAACAAAGGTTAGAACTAAGAGAATACGTAAAATATTAAGAAAGCACAGTAGAGACTTCATAGTTTAAGACTGAATCTTTTTTTTTTCAAGCCTAGCTCTTAGTCATTGCTGGCAAAGTCTACCGTACACACGTACTCAATTACGAATGTAGAAGTGTTAGCCGAACTCCGATACCTAACTAGCAACAGGCAAGAAGCTTAATAAAAAAATATCTTGGCATTATGTGGGAGATCCCTAACAGCACAATTGGATTTAGCTAATAATACTGTTTAATCTGTCTGTAACATTAACAACATTTTAGCAATTATTTCTGCCAGGAAATTGTTCAATTGGAATAAAGATTATATTTGCAAATTGTGACTAAGGAGAATTTAAACTGGTCATTTCAACCAGTGAGCGGATGGAAAGGGTATCTTTCACTTACTCTGTTATTAGTTTGTTTCTTAAGGCTCTTTTTTCTGAATGAATTTAATTGTAATTCATGGATTTCCTGTGGAAAAGTAATGCATATTGTTCCAAAAGATAATAAATATGTTCTAGAAGGAAATACAAGTTATGACTAAGTACCTCCTGTTTGGTTTTCACATAGGCAGTGTCCAGAAGGATATATATGTGTGAAAGCTGGTAGAAACCCCAACTACGGTTACACAAGTTTTGACACCTTCAGCTGGGCCTTTTTGTCACTCTTTCGGCTAATGACTCAGGACTTCTGGGAAAACTTGTATCAGCTGGTAAGAAATTTTTATGATATAAAAAATAAACTGTAAGTGACATACAAAATTATATAAATAGGCTTATTTGTACATGAGCTGAAAGCATAATGCTGTTGCAGTAGCAAAGGTAAGTGGTGGAATAATACATAGACATACTTTCTACTCCCTAGACCCTACGTGCTGCTGGGAAGACATACATGATATTTTTTGTTCTGGTGATTTTTCTGGGCTCTTTCTACCTGATCAACTTGATCCTGGCTGTGGTTGCCATGGCCTATGAAGAACAGAATCAAGCAACCATGGAAGAAGCAGAGCAGAAGGAGGCAGAATTTCAACAGATGCTGGAACAACTGAAGAAGCAACAAGAAGAAGCTCAGGTAATGACAGAAATTGTACTGAACACTGTATACTTTCTGAATAGCTTTATTCTTAAAGCAAGATTAACAGTCTTTTATGAATTAGAACATGTATAAGCTGTGCAATGAATTGCAGAACTCTTGTTTACCACAGAAGTTATAAAAATGAAAATAACCAATGAGAATCTAGCCAAATAGCTAACTAAGCAAAAAACTGCCCAAATAGCAAAACAATAAGCTAATGGTACAAAAAAGAATGCTATTGAATAAACATTACTAGGATCACCAAAAGACTGCAAAATACTTGTGATAAGTGTCCTAGAAACCTGACTTTAACTAGTCATAGTTCATGATGCATTTATTTTATAGATCTTACGAATAGCATGAAAAAAAATCTAGTGATACTCCTTCTGGTTTAAGGTCTGAGTGAGAGTAAGCAAGCATGGTCTGAGTGAGAGCAGCCAGGCTTGCTGCATTTTCTGAATATTGGGGAAGAACTACTAAGTAGAGAGTAGGAAAGTAATCAGTGTTTTTTTATTTTTCTGTCTAGGAACGTATTTAAGCATATTCATAATTCAAGCACACTGAAGTCTATCAGAAGTTTATATATACTTAGAACAGACTGGCAATATTTATAACAAAGATATTGTGTCACAGTTTTTTGAAAGTAAAAAATCTTTGTTTTCTTTGAAAAGAGAAGGTAATTATGAGAAAAAGACATTTTAATAGATACTTTTTTTGATGATGATTTCTTATCTGAAAGTAAATATATGCAGGAATTCATCTCTGTGAGTCAGACGTCTGTCTAATTTCTGGACTGATTTTCTATTGCTTTCCATCTGGCATACAGTCATTTTCAACGGGACAATTTTATAAAATGTTAGCAAATTAGAATCTTGTATGAAATTATACTTTGGATAGTATTTTACAGTTACTTTCACTAAGAATGATTCTATAAAGTGCTAATAGAAATTGCAACTCTCCACCTTTTTCTGGAAAAGAATGCCTTATGCATGACCTGTGAAATCTAGTGAGCATATCTCTGTTTTAGTCATTAAACCTTATCACTTCCAAATCATTAAAGAAAAAGCAGATTCCTGCAAATTAAAAAAAAAGAAAAAATCAGCAAAGAGTACTTTTTTTCATTCATGAAAGGCACTACCTTGCGTTATATCAAAAGATATCAGGAGGCTCATCTAGATGTTTGTGTGTTGAGAGTGGGGATAGAAATGAAGTTAATCTAGAATTAGGACGAACAGAACCATATGGAACAGAGACACAAGGAATGTTGGATAAAGGCCCTGAATAGTCAGTTTTTTAAATGAATCACCACTCAACTCATTATAAGAAAAGCGGTATTACAGTCAAGATCCCTTTTGTACATGAAACTCTTAGCAGAAAGCACGCACTGCAAGGTGAACCACTGAGCTGCTGAATTGGTTGCTGAGTCTCCTCTCCCTTGACACTGAACATATTCATCCACAAACCTAAGTCATCAGAGTGGTCTTTGGATTGCTGCACTTGTTTGATCTTTGGCGTTAGTATTATGAAGTGGATGGGTGATGCCTCAGCATCTGCTGCCTTTGTTTCTGTTAAAGCATTTGAAGGATGAGATTCTGAAACAAGTACGACAAAATTTTTATTATCGTTTTTAATTGATAAACATTTCAAAATCCTTGTAATACTCCATTTAGCCGGAAAAAAAAGTCTGTATCAAGTCAACTTATCACTCTCTAGTACTACCTGAAGGGAAATTGTAGTCAGGTGGGTGTTGGGCTCTTCTCCCAGGCAACAAGTGACAGGACAAGAGGGCACGGCCTGAAACTGCATCAGGGCAGGTTTAGGCTTGATCTCAGGAAGCCCTTCCTCATGGAGAGGGTGATCAGGCATTGAAACACCTCCGTCCCTAGAGGTGTTTAAGGAAAGGTTGGATGTGACACTTAGTGCCATGGTCTGGTCGATGTGATGGTATTGGGTCACAGGCTGGACTTGATGATCTCAAAGGTCTTTTCCAGCCTCAATAATTCTGTAATTCTGTATAGCATGGGATGTATATTGTCACACAGAAAGTCATTAATTCGTACTATGAGCTTTCAAACTACCCTTTCCTGCTGTGGAGTGATATCTCATCATTCCTGAAATGCTTGGCATTGAATATAACATATTTTGCCTGATAATTACTAGTCGTCTTTGTTATGTAACTGTAGTCTGTTGCCATTTATCATACCACCCTTTTTTGTAAGCTCACAGCAGCCTACCATCTTCCCAAACATGTTTTCCACTGCAGAATTTCATAGCAATCTCCTAATCAGCTCTTTCTAGGAAGAGTATTGGACATACTCTCAGTTCTTCCTATATTTGATGAATAAACGAACCAGTTTCCCTAATGAACCAAATCAGGTAGGCTGACCAGTGTAGTTGAAGATACTGGTCCTGAGTTTTGTGATGGCTCTTTGCTCAGTTGAGTCATCTCATTCCTATCCATCAGAGAAGAAACCTAAGCTTTTATTCTCTCTGCCTGCAGCAGCACCAGGCAATACATGTACCTTCATGTATCTGTAACAAAGACTGAGAGCGCTGTTACAGTGAGAAATGCGGGAGGGGAAACATGAAGAGGGAAGCAGGGCTTGTAGAGGGCCTGCCTGCTGCCAGTGAAAGTAGAAGGAAAGTGAGGGAGTGTTCTTTGCTGTGAAGTCAGTGAGGAAAGGTTGGATTCAGCTACTTTCAGGCTGCTAGTTGGATTATGATACATTAACTCAAACGGGGACTCAGAAGGGATCATCCAAATTAGAGCACGATGTAGGGCTTTCTCTGAAGGGAAAATGGTGAAGCAGCTCTGAAATACATGAAAAAGCACCGTGTTTTTACTTTTCTGACTACCTTAATTTTAGACCCCTATCTCATGCCACAAATCTTGAAGGAATAGTGATGCTGTTGTTCTGCTGAAATGGATGCTTCAAGTAGCTGATGCAATGAGGAGCTATACAACTCAAAAGTTTATCTTCAGTTCGATCTGTTTGTGTATATTTGCATACTCAGGGGTGTACAACCGGCAGTGTTACCACAGTGATAATGAAAACAGTTGATAAAAGTCTATAAAATTGTTCTTTTCTGGCTTACTAAGAATACCTTGCTCTGTAACCTGACAGGCAACAGCAGCAGTAGCAGCAGCATCAGTTGCATCAAGAGATTTCAGTGGCGTAGGGGGATTAGGAGAACTCTTGGAAAGTTCTTCAGAAGCATCAAAGTTGAGTTCAAAGAGTGCTAAAGAAAGAAGAAACAGAAGGAAGAAAAGAAGACAGAGAGAAATGTCTGAAGCAGAGGACAAAGGAGATATTGATAAGTTCCCCAAGTCTGAGTCAGAAGACAGTATCAGAAGGAAAAGCTTCCGCTTCTCCACAGAAGGAAGTCAACTGACATATGAAAAAAGGTTCACATCTCCTCACCAGGTACAGCACTCTTTTTTATTAAATTATGTAGGTGTGCTCTAATTTTGGATTTGGCTGACGTTACAGCAGCTTTACATACTGGAAGTTACATAGAAGGTGAGTGAAAAACACCCAAACCAGTAGTATTACCATTAACAGTGTTACAGTTTCATATGGTTTGTCCCATTCTATTAGCAAAAGGATTGAAAGAACATGCCAACTGTAAACTTAATTAAAACATTTCTGAAAATTTATTTCTGAGGATATATCTGGTCGACTGAAGAAAGAATCAAAGACGCTTTGATTAGTACTCATATATTTGCATTAATCAACCATAAGTTTTCTGTTCTGCATCCATTCCAAAACTATACAAATACATGGGGTTTCTTTTAGAAGAACACACCATCAAAATGCCCTCCATAGGAAATTCAATGTTATTTCTATTGATTCCCTTAATTAGCTTCTTTAAATGGTATATGTGAAAAGTAGCTCTACTACTCCACAACAAAAACTATATAGGGATACGTTTCCTTATTTCAAGTCTGCACATAGTTACAGTATTTGTAGAAAAATCACTTCAAATGCATCTCTTCAAAATGATTATGTCTGGGCTCAGCTAACAGAAGACATTTACCTTCCAATACTACACGTTTAACTACCAATGTTTATGCTATTTAACGTTCCTATCAAGTGTGTTAGTTTACAGACTCATACAAACGATGAGATTCAGTGGCAGGAAGACTTCAACGGAAATATATGCAGAGGGGAGGAAAGCTGATTTTGAGACAAAGCCCAACAATTAGTCAAGTGTAAGGGATGGTGCCTGGTCTGAAAAAGATACATCTGCATTTTTAAGGAAGTAAACGAATGTTTACTGTAGTTAAGAGGAATGACCAGGTAGTTCTCTGGATAAGAAATATATCTCGACTCCTTTGACAAATATTGTAGAAGTGATGAAATATATTATTTTGGGGCCAAAGCTGCTCAGAAAAATCTGCCATTAACTGGAATGCACTTTCAGTCAGGCTGCTACAAAGGAGGTGCAGCCAAAAATCTCATTTTAGACTGCACAGTCCCGCCTCACTTAGATATATATATACACATATATAACTGTTCGTACCTCATGGATGATGGTGGTGAGTGACTTGACCACACTAAAGGAGAGTCACGGACCAAGTCTGAGCAGAAAGGAGTTTCCAATTGCCAGTCCTGTTCTTTAACTACTTAATAATAGGCCTTTCCATTGTCTAGTCTAAATTCCATGATGCTCTTTTATAGACTTCTACTGAAGAGATTGATTAAGGAGTATATTATGTTTATATTAAAAACATTTTTTGTGCACAGAAAAAAATGCTTAATACAGAAGCATGTATACTAAAGGGAGAAGAATTTGAGACGAAGAGATTCTATAGTTCATAAACTTTGTCTAGCTTGATTAAAGTATAGTAAAATGTTGTTGCATGTGTTTGTTCATAATGTGAAACTCTCAGAAAGCTTTCATTGTGGCAGTTATCATGAAGAACTCTGAAACTTCCACAGAAGCCTAAGAAAATTAAGAAACCAAGGCACTTCAAATGCATTTTCATAACAGTAAAATTAAATGTGAATTCATGTTGTAGACTAAATAAGAAAAATTCACTGAAATCAAGTGAAAACAAAGGTTGTTTATATCTTAGATTTGAAAGAAAAGAAGGAAATGGTGCAAAAGACAGCTCATGTGCGACATCATGAATTACACAGCATGAAGGAAATCAGTGACCTCCTGAAATAATTTTTTGAAAAAAATAATTTAAAATTTTGAAATAAAAAGAGACTTGTATCAATCAAATAATCAAATCAAGAATAAGTTATTAATTAAAGACAGTCTTGGTAATTCTTTTTGCAGTTGTAAAAATGCTTTGGGCCAAGCATTGCCTGCATCTAACTGAAGTAAAACTGAGCTGCCACAAGAATGATCAGATTGTGGGCAATGGAACCGGTAAAGGGAGAGCTAGTTTGCCTTGTTAGCCATGCAGTCAGCTCCCTGGCAAAACTGGGTGGCAGAGCACGAAACAACATGATGGAATTGTAAGGGGAGAGAATCTGCCTCTCTAAAGAACTCTGTAGAGATTTTTTTCCTTTGACACAATATTCAGCTTGCAAGAAAAGCCAAGCTTTCCTTTTGGACCTTCCTTTCTAGGAGCATGTAGACACATATATTTCTGCCTCTCCGTGTGTTAGAATCGCAGCCATTTTGGCTTTTATCTTTTGTTTCAATCCAGCTGGGACTGCAGAACAGGCATTTCTCCTACCCGGTCCCTGAGGGGCCTGATCCATTCAGCTGTGCTCAGAGCATGATAACACATATCGGAAAGATTGGACTCCAAACAGAGCACAGCAGCTATGGAAACATTCTCTAAAAAGGCCAAGTATAGCGGTAGTAGTTAGATGAAACCTAGTGAGCTTGTGGTTTTTTGAAGGACCGTAGGTTGGCCAAATATATTTACAACAAAATGTACAAAGGGTGCAGTGATTAGTTTACCACTTTGTCAGAATCCAGTGTCATGCTCTATAGCAGCTAGAGCTTTTTTTAGACAAATTTATCTTTCAGCATAAGCAAAACAGAACTTTTTCTCCAGCCAAGTTTACATAAATGCGTTAGCAAAACCGTTTGGCGGATATTCTTCAAGTAACTCAGCCTGAGGCTGACAGCCAGGATAGAAAATTGCAGCCCAAATTATTATTAAAATTTGGTATAGCTGTAAGAGCAGAAAAAACACCTGTCATAATGGCAGACACCTGCCAGCCTTTAGAACAAGCACTTCTACCAGTTCAGTGCACACATTATGTGTGTATGTGTAAAAATCCAAGTATACATGTACAGAGATACAGATGGATGGATACATATTTATGTTCAGTGTTTAGTTTTCACAGTATTAATATAAGCTTACATATTATAGTGCAGTTTTCACTTTAACTATCCTGGGATAAAAAACAGTGCTATTACATATGAGCACTTTCCACCTGCAAAACTAGTGAACAATTGAGAATTATCTCAAACCAGGTTTTTAACATACCAAGATGAAAACATTTGTACAAATGAAGAAGTGAAGCAAGCCTAACGCAAGGTTTCTTTTTTCCACAATCAGTACTCATTTTATTTATTCATGAATGCTGTTAATAAAATATGTAGCAAGGGAGAAGAACATTCCATTAAGCAGCTTCTACTGTAATTAAAAGATGAATTACCAACAACCACTGATTTATTTTTCTCATTTGTAAAAGGATATCTTTAGGTAACCGTGTCCTTGGTGAATGTTTGCGTTGAGCTGCCCCTGATGGCCATGTGGTACCTTCTGGTAGGTGTGCAGCCTGCTATAGCCCCTGGGGTGCTGTGCTCAAGAGGGCTACTAGTGATGTTCAACACCGTACCTCCCAAGCTGTTGCCTCTGTCTTCTAGTTCTAGAGTACTTCATATGTAGTTCCCATGCTATTGAGCCTACGGGGACGAGGGCAGACAAGTTCTTAACGTCAGCTGAGGCTGAATCTAATATCAAATTTAAGACCACTTCTGCCTCTAGCAAAGAGAATAGAAAACAATGGTCGGTCAGCATTATGAGTTGGTATCCCTATGAATCCAGGGAACAAAGAAAGGAAGAAAAGAAAAAGGTCCTTAGCTCTGTCCAGTAAAAAGGAATAAAAGACAAATAACTGCAAAAATCCTCCAATGTGATGTTGAGAACTGTCTCCATAAAAGCCATGGGTCCATACCAATTCCACCTACCTTTTTTACTCAACCGTCCAACCTTACTGTCTTCTGCACAACTTTACTACAGTCCTGCCACATTGCCTTAAAAAGCACTTTTCTCCCTAAACTTCAGGTTCCCTGATGAGCACATTCCCATAATGGACATGCTGACACCATTGAAGAAAAAAGTGACTTTCCTTCTTTGAGCACTATATTCTTTGAAAAGCCAAGAATTTAGAATTTCCCTGCTAATGCTGTTTTGGTATGGTTTGTTTTAAATCTTTTACAGTCTTTGCTGAGCATTCGTGGTTCCCTGTTTTCACCAAGGCGCAACAGCAAAACAAGCATTTTCAGTTTCAGAGGTCGTGCAAAGGATATAGGATCAGAAAATGACTTTGCTGATGATGAGCACAGCACTCTTGAAGACAATGAGAGCAGAAGAGATTCTCTTTTTGTTCCAAATCGACACGGAGAACGGCGCAACAGTAACATTAGTCAGGCGAGTGTGTCATCTAGAATGGTGCCAGCCCTTCCAGTAAATGGGAAGATGCACAGCACCGTGGATTGCAATGGAGTAGTTTCCTTGGTTGGAGGACCTTCAACTCTGACTTCACCTACTGGTCAGCTGATACCAGAGGTAATTATTAGAGTTATTACAGTCTGGTTCAGGCATGGAATTTTTTCTTACTGCTCCGCTCTGCATGCCTTATAATTTCCTAGAACTGTGCGAAATGCCTTGCAATAGTTTCTAAATAACAAAACACAGAGTAAAAATAGTCCTCAACCTCCTATATCTGAGCCTCAGTAAAATATTATATCCTCGTTTTCAGCAAGAGATCTGCACAGAAAGATAAGAACATAAACTGGATTTGAAAATTTGTATGTAGTTTCACCTTACGAACAAAGGTAAACATGTGATATATAACTAAGGATATAACTTAGAAATATGTACAGGAAACCATCTGGAAAACTAAGAAGAATGCAGTTACTACTCCCGTGATAATAAGTAGAAATACCCCTTACTGGATTTATCCTGAAGAAATTTTTCTCATAACTTTCAAGAGAAAAAAACGTACAATTCCTCTGCACCTTTGCAGTTACATTACATTTTAGTCTCAGTTTCAGACTTCTATATACTAAGATGATTTTTTCAAACTTTAAAAAAGCAAGCTTTGTCATGCATAGTATTTTAATATAGACTCATTATGGTATTTTGGTGGCTATAATAGCACTGTATTTAACTTGAAAAATATTTTCACTGCAAGTATTGAGATTTCATTACTGTTATTTCACATTTGTTTTTCTTCCCTATCTTGATGTAGCCCTTCATACCTGAAATTCCATCAGATTACCTTAGAGGATTTGCACATATATTTCTATTTCAGAAATACATTCACTTGAAGAAAGATTTAGCCATTTAAATCAAGAGTCTTCTCTATTGAAATACTATTAGTGAATCCTCAAAATTGGTTTAGCATCTTCACACTAAGATAATCTTGACATCCCTTCTGGGTTCCACAGGCTTTTTTATTCTTTTTATGGATGGGGACAGAATAATCAGAAAAAGAAGGAGTAGTTTCCATGAATCACAGAATGAGTGGTAGAGCAGGAACCAAGATTTAGAAACTTTTATTCCCACTCTTGTGTTTAGATCCCTAGGCCACGGTCCAGAAGAAAACAAAACAGCTGTAAGGACACTTGCATGCTACAGAGCAGTGACACCTTAGGCATATTTAAATCAGAGCTGGGTATTATTGCTCTGAAAAACTAATTAGAAGTCATACAAAACAGGTAGGACTTTCATATTCATTGCAAGAATATATCACAAATTCTGTATAAATATTGCAGTGGATGAGAACTAGTTAGAAGAAATATTAAATAAGATGTGATGTTTTTTCCTCATATAAAACTTTCCAGCCACGCTTATCAGGTTAGGAATGCAGTAGTATTAGAGAGATGATTAATTTCTAGAATTATACTCATGTATCTTGTATCACAGTTACTTTCTTAAATAATAGTTCACTTCTTTCTCTACTTGCACTTTAATTATTTAACATGACTAGCTGCTGGAAATCAAGGTGACAGGTTTCAACTTTGATAATTTTTTCCTCAATGAATGATGATAATTGCTAGCAAAAAAAAAGATGCCTAGTAAAAATTTTGTCATTTAAATGAGAAACACCTTTAGTCTCACATCGCCTTTGTATTGTGTCCCTTAGATGATTATTTTCAGCACTGTACGAATTTCCCGCTGAGTTTCTCAATTAAGTATGTAAGAAAACTCTAGTATGCTGCACAAAGCTCATCTGGATTATTTACAATACTTACATAGTAAATATTGTTAACTGACTGCTGAAGAGCACGGGTTAATTTCTCAGTATTCCATTTACAGGGCACCACTACAGAAACAGAAATAAGGAAAAGACGCCTGAGTTCTTATCAAATTTCCATGGAAATGCTGGAAGATTCTGCTGCAAGGCAAAGAGCAATGAGCATAGCTAGCATACTTACCAATACAATGGAAGGTATTTGATGTATTTTATCTGAACTGCCTGTTGATTTCTGCTAACTACAGAGCAATTATTTACATCATTTCCTTTGTAAATGTAAGACTCGACGTGTGAAATCTCTGAGCATCAGATACAAAAGGCTCTTGAGCATTTCTAAGATCATTTACACATTATAAATGCTTAGTCATTTATTTTTCATGACACCTTCCAAGTTATTATTGTATTGAGAAAAAATAATCATAGCTAGGGTATTGCCAGAGTCACAAACAGGGGTTTGCTTCCTTTAACACTTTGACACAAAAAATCAAGATACACAGGAATTGCTGCGTTACAGTGATGTGCTAGAACAGTTATTTCCCTTAGATTTAAAATCTAAGGATAGACAGGAGAAAATTGGAATGAAAAAGATAGTTTTAAAGAAAAGAAACAACTTTAATAAACTTATGTCAAGGCACATTAACTGCCTTCCTTAAGCATTTCTTAAACTTTCTTAGGTAACTTTATTAAAAAATTACTATATTTACTCTATGAAAAACCATACATTGTTGGAATTGTTTTGCTCATTTAATGGAAGCTGAATACACTCACGCCATACCTATACCATTAAAATATTGGTATAAGCTTAAAGCATCTCTCTACTGGATACTGGCACAATGTGACAACTGTTAGATATGTCAATGTAAATGATGTCATCCTGATCATCACCTCCTACACACATTTGTTTTCCATTATTTCAGAAGCTGCTAAATGCAAGCAATGGAGTCTTCTGTGCCAATTCAGTGTCCAGTGTGAGTGGCCATTTTTGTCCAAGGCCAGTCCCATCCTACCTCTCAGCATTCTGAGTTACATGTTCAGAAATGTAATTATTCCACCCAAGCAATGTATTTCTTTAGACATACTGTCTTTGTTATGGTTTATAAAGCTTATAGGAGACTCACTACTTCCTATTCTTCTTTCTACTCTGTGACAATATTGACAGTGAAATGGAAGAAAAAATACGATATAAAGTTCTTAACTGAGAGCAGAATTGTTCGCTAATACTGACATTCTGTTTCTATGTTAATAGACACTGCAACTGTACAAGACATTTTCAAACAAAGTAAAATGATAATTTTTAAAATAAGAAAACAGGCATTCTGTATATTAAAAATATTGATTCAAATAAGCAATGATAGATATGTGGATGAAGTAATTTATCTGTTATGATACTGTATTGCTTCAGTGTAGTAGCAAATACACTTTTAGTAGCTCAAATCAAAATATGTATGCGTGTTACATATTTAAAACAACAATTTTATATTTTATGAAGCTTATACAAATTATATACATTAGCTCACTGATGATGGAATCATGTTAACTTTTAATATCCAAAATTAAGACATCTGCTGTAAGCAAGTTAACTAACATAAGTAGATATTTAGACTCTCCCTGCTGTCAGGGGAAAGAGACAAACACATTTCTCTCTTTAGACAGATGTTTGAGATGATTCACTCTTTAGAGATAAATTCACTGTCCGCTCGTTGTAGAGGAGCTTAAATAAACTAGATGCTTAACTTTAAGATGGCTAAGCATAGGTAAGGGAATTCCCATGCTAGTGGGAGCTGTTTATTTGAATGATTTAATCTTTTTCCACATCCAGGGGATATAACTGAAATATTAATGATTGGTTATTTTTTTCAGAGCTCGAAGAATCCAGACAGAAATGCCCACCATGCTGGTACAGATTTGCAAACACTTTCTTGATTTGGGATTGCTGGAGTCCGTGGTTAAAAGTAAAACATGTCGTCAATTTAGTTGTGATGGATCCATTTGTTGATCTTGCTATAACTATTTGCATTGTTTTAAACACCTTATTTATGGCCATGGAACATTACCCAATGACCGAACAGTTCAGCAGTGTCCTTTCTGTGGGGAACCTGGTAAGTGGTTTGTCATGTTTGGTGTAAAAATACCCTTTTCTAAAAGAAGAAAAGCACAAATGCACGGCATTGGTTTTAAATGTGTTCCAGGTTGGTTTTTATACTCAGTTTAGAAACTGTATATATAATTTTAATATTTAAAATGTTTTTCTGCTTGAGCCTTTAATTTGCATGGTTCTATTTGCTAACTACTATAGTAAAATAACTGAATATGTGTGTCTTCACTTGGTTGTCAGATTTCTTGAGGACTATTTTGGGTTTTTTCTTTAACACGCTAATGTAGATTATCTGATTTTTACCATGGTATGATATTCCATCACAGAAAATATTTTTCTTCTGTAAGAAAATGATGAAATATTCAGATGTTAGAATTTCTCTGAATTTTCTCAGTTACACCTTTCCAAGAAAGGTAAATTCCTTGCCACTTTAGGTAACTGAAAATACTTGATAAACTAAAAGATTATTATTTAGTCTCTAACAAAAGCACCTTGTATCTGTAAATTTGTTAGTGATGCCTTTCCTGATTTTAACCTGATCCGGAGATTTTGTGTTACCCATAATTCTTTTTCTGAGCAGATAACTAAATGTGTTGTAACACTTAAGTGTTCTTGTCTTTCTCTCCATTTGCTTCTAATGCTCAGGAAGCAGACGACTGAACCTTGGAAGTGTTTGTTTCAGAAGATTCATACATTTTTAATTCTTTGCCAGCTCACATAACTACAAATAGTTTACACAGGAGAGGTCTGGATTGACTCACACAGCATTCAGTCCTCAAAATCAAAACCAACCAAGTATTCTGAACTAATTCCTCAAAATGATTAGTTTTGAAAAGGCTGCTGATATTTAAATGGAGCGGTAACAGATTTCTCAGAGTATGTTGTGAAGTCTAAACATTTTCCTTATATGTACTGGTAATACATTCCTTTATGGCTTTTTGAAAAAAAAAATAGAACTAAAATTGAACTTGCTCCTTATATGTTCTTGTCTCCATTACAGTTTCCTTTCTCCTGGAAAACGATCTAATTGCTGACATACTCTTACATTAACCCCAGATTACAGAATATTTTATCTTAAAGTGACTGTCATATTGTTAGTTATTCCTCTCCAATCATTTATACTTACAAGGTCTTCTTCCTTTTCCCATCTTATATCCTTCTTTTTTTACTCTAAGCTAGCAACAGTCTTATTTTTAACTACCTTTGTAACAAGCCAGTATCCTTAATTAGGACCGTATAT